TGAGCCTGTGGACAACTGTGGTCCCTCAGTGAACTGATTCCGGTCACATGATGACCTCAGAGGCATGCAGCTAGGAAGGTGACAATCCCACCAGTTTCAGTGACAAGAGGGGATTCAATTAGATTCTGCAGCTGAGCATCCAGGGCTGAATTATACACAGTGACCTCGGAGATCCAGGGGACAAGAAAAAAATGAATCTATTGGGGGTGTGGTGATAGACTTAAAAAGTTAGGATAGAAGTTCCGAGCTGGAGAAGGGGTGCCAGGCACTGATGTAGCTGGACTCGGGAGGCTGGGCCAGAAAGCCTGATGGAGGCCAGGTGGTACTGTGGGGGCAGGGATCCTTGGGGTCTGGTCTGGCTTGACTGAGCTGAACAGTCAGTGTCCTTCCTGCCCCTTCCTCCTGACATCTTTCTGGGTTCCCAGAGAAGTTGCAGTGCTGGGGAGGAACACACACTCGGTCCCTAAGCTGGGGTGGGAAGGGGGACACACAGGCTCCTGGGCCAGACAAACAGAGAACTCACCAACAAACTCTTTGCATTTGCTTTGTCATCTGCTGTCAACTTGTTATCAATACATATCTTCAGATTTTCAGCATTTTTCAGTGTGGCAGTGTCGTTCTTGTACTGGCTCACGTAATTTACATATTCAGTCACAGATGGGCCAAGGAAAAGATCAAGCTCCTTCACTATCGCTGGGCAAATGCCACAATCTAGAACACAGAAAAAAAGTGATCCTCCTTTGAAAGCCTTGCATCAAACACAGATGTCCTTTCTGGGGAGTGAGGGTGTGAGAGCCCTGGAGACTCTGCATCCCTGAAACCCACACCCTAGTACCTACCTCCCTCCGAGGTCAGGAGCAGAGCAGCCCCAAGCAACACGAGAACACCAGTGAGCTTCATGGTAAAGGCAGGTAGGTGCTCCTACCCAACTTGGGACCCTTTTTTAACTGCCCTGCTCTGCTGGCAGGGGAGGGAGGGGCTGGGTCTGAGCCCTCCAGGCCCCTCCCAGAACCCAGCTTGAAACTCCCTGGGGCCATGTCAGGGGAGATGTGTGTTTTGGCAAGAAAAATAGATCCTGGTCAACAAAGGGCTCTGGTTCAGCATGGTCCTTTTCTAGTCTTCTGCTTAAGGTCACATGTCATGTGAGGACCCAGGAAGTGATGAGTAGGGAGAGGGCCAGGTCCCTCCATGAGGCCTCCAGAGTGAGGTCTCTGTCTCCCTGTAACACTGGGAACTTGCCGTTTATTTACAAGCTCAAGGGGTCACTTCTAGGGCAGGCCAGATCACAGACCACTGACCATGTGGAGACCCCTGTTCTGACTGTTTCTGTCCCTGCCCCCATCTTTCACTTGCTTCACGGCTCCACTGAAGCCGACTCTCACCCTGAAGTCCTCCTGTTGTCACGGTCATCCTGCAACGCCATCTTTCAGTTGTTCTTGTTCTTGTTGGTATTTACTTTGTTTTGATATGGGGTCTCTAGACACAGGCCTTGCTGTCCTGGAACTCACTTTGTAGACCAGGCTGGACTTGAACACACAGAGATCTGCCTGCCTCTGCCTCCTGAGTGCTGTGATTAAAGGCGAGCACTAACACTTCCCAGCGAATATGTATGTATTTGTGGTGTGTGTGGTATTCTATGTGGTATATTTGTGTGGTGTGTGTATGGTGCATATTTGTGATGTGTGTTTGTGTGTGTGGCATGTGTGTGGTGTGGTGTGTGTGTGTGTGTTTGTTATGTAGTATGTATCTAATATGTGTGTGTGCTATATGTGTGTGATATTTGTGTGTGTGTATGTGTCTGTGGTGAATTCAACTTTCCCTACAGCTGGTGGTAAACACTGTTAAAATCCATTAAAAACTGCCTGGTGTGGTGTCAAACATTTTTAATTTTAGCACTTAGCAGACAGAGGCAGGTGGACAACTGTGAGTTGGAGGCCACCTTGTTCCCCACAGGGATTTCCCAGCTACAGGACATACACTTTAAGTTCATACTGCAAGTGGCTCATGTTCATTTTCTCATAACTAAGCAAAGATGCCTCATTGGAGCAATCTGACCCCTCATTGGTCACTGCCTGACTGTCTTCCTGCTCCAGTTGCTTTGACTTTCCACCAAGAACCCAACACGACAGCCCTGATGGCAGCACCAGCCATTTTGAATACTCCATAGATTCCCTGGAAAACTAAAGGGCAATCTCAGCTGGTTGGCCCAGATTCTGAAAACACAGCCTCGGTCTGCGGAAGGTCTTGCGGAACTATGCTATCAAAATTCTAGGTGATATTTCACCCATTTCCACCTGGGTCAGACAAGAAGCACCTCCTTTACACCCAGAAGGGGGTGCTAAGAGGCAGGCTGTGGTAGGCTCCAGTGCCCCTCTGGCCTATGGAGGGGGGAAGCTCAGACCCATGCACTGTCCTGAGAGACATGCTTGACTCTCTCCCCGGGATGTGACATTCTAGGCCTCATGAACGACTTATGTCTTTTTTACTGCCCTACTTTCAGGAGTGTGGGCTGAATGGACAGAAATGGGGAAGGGGGCAGTGGAGCAAAGGCTGAGGCAGAGGAATGACAGTTGTATGGTCAACAGGCAAGTAGCTTGATGTATGCTGGCTAAAGCATTGGACAGGGACAGGGTAGGAAAAAGAAGAGTCACAGAAAGAGAGGGCAGACAGCAAGGTCTGATGAAGGATCAAAGGTTTCATATTCAGAGGACCGAAAGTTCAAGGCCCTGTTTGATAAAGAACTCTAGGGAGCTGCAGTGTCCTTAGACACAAGAGCCTCAGTAGGGCCAAGAGCCACAGCACTGCTGAGTGCCAAGAAGGACTCACTTCCTACCCATGAGGCTCTGGGTCCCATGCTGGTGTGAGGCCTGTTCACTAGAGGGTTCCTCCTGCTGCTGCTCCCACCTGCCAGCTGCTTCTGCTCCTGCTGGGACACATGGAGGGCAATGAAAGCTGCCC